AACGAAAGGTGATGCATGAAAGACTGAAAGATGTCGCACGTTCGTTTATAATGACTTGGGTTAGCGTCTGCATGAAATTGGCTGGCCACCGACCAGTTAAGATTCCAGTACTCTGTTGTATTTTGTGCGTACTTTTTATGGAGCACAGAAGTTTCGTGACACAGATATGCTATCGAATCTCTTGCATGGTCCCGGCAGCGGCGAGACATATCAGTGACTCCTAATTGGGCGTTGGAGAATTTGAAGTACACTTGAGCTCCTTAGCTTATAGTTTCGGTTTGCCTATATATAAAATAACAGCATCAGCATGGTTATCGAGTCCCTATAGATGCATATTAGCATTATGGTGACAAAGGGAACATCATGCCCATGGTCTATGCTGTTCAATGCCTTGTTTATCGGCACAAGATAGACATCAGCATTTGTTTATATCATCTTCTTCGTCGGGTTTCATGCACGAACCAGCTGCTGTGGTGTCCCTGAGGCGCATTTGGCGTCTCCTCTCTTCCAGTTTCCGAAATAAAATTTATCGGCGCGGCCTTCTCGCCGCCGAAGAGCCAGACTGGCGTTGCTCTGACGCTCACAAGTTACAAGGAGGATACGCCGCTCCTTTGCCATCGACCTCGCCTGCGCAGCGCTCGCTCGACTTGACAGTGGCATCGCCGCAATATCAACCGCCGCAAGTTGCAAGCCCCCCTTCTGTGGAAGACTGACTGAAAAGACAGGCTACTGCAAGTTGCCGTCGTGCTCGAGACGACCACGTGCTGCGGACAGCCACGGCGGGCGGGCGAGACCCTTTCATGTGTATTTTTATGAGGGCCGATGTGCCGCATTTCGCGGCGGTCGCGTCGGCGACGGCGACGCCGCACTCGGTCTCCACCGTTCAGCGGAACCGTCGCGGTACAGGCAGTAAAGCGCTACAGCGAACGCGCCCGCGCTGCGCCCCGTGAGCGTGAGCGTGACCGGCCCGGCTCGACGAGCGCCAGCCAGCGCCGCGGATGCCGCCCGCCCTAAACGTGCTTGCGAACGGCGCGGGCGCGGGGGCGACCAGCCGACCACGATCGCTAGCACTAGCAGTAGCACTTTGTAGGTCAGTAACCGTGGACGCGGCCGGACCGCGACTCCGCGAGGTGGTTGTTTCCTGGCTGCGCCCGCGGCGAGGGTGGGCGGGCCACGCCATGCCGAGGTGGCCGCGGATGGTGTGGTGACTGGTGAGGTCGGCTTCCCTCCACCGCGGCGGGCCCGGCGCGTCGACGCTGATGCGACGCCAGCTCCGTGCTGAGAAGGACGCGGCTACGGTTGAGGGTGACGTGGGTTGCGTGGTCCTATTGTCAGTGGTGGGCGACACCCGGGCGCTTTTGCAGTGGACCCCGACTGGGGACGGGCTACGCTACGCGTCAGCCCGGTGGGTGGTGGTGTGCGGTTGCTGGCAACTAGTTCCACGAAAAAATGCTGGGCGCACACCAACTGTCTTCCCCAGTTCCCTGCCCCTATGGGTGGTAGTACAGCACAGCAGCGCTGGTGCCGTCGAGTCTTGTGTTGGAGAAATAATATTGCCTGACCTCTCTTTGTTCTCTCAATGGCTCGACACATGAGTTTCAAGTACTCATTGTACTATCATTTTTCATATTACTATATCTACAAAAGTCCAGTATGTACTTTCATGATAGATATGACTAAAGGTTGAAAATAGATATGGATGTTTAATTTCCCATTTTATACTGGTTTTCTATAAACATACGAGTTAGGTAGAGTATAATATACTCCATCTATTTCAAATTATAAGTTGCTTTGACTTTTTTTTATATCGAATTTGCTATGTATCTAGACATAGAAAATTCGATGTCTCAAAAAAAGTCAAAGCAAATTTTAATTTGGAACGGAGGGAGGAGATCTCAAAAAATAGCTTGAGCGCTCAGCTACACACAAAAAGCATGACATGTAGTTTGTCACTTATGCAGATTCACACTTGACATAAAAAATGTGTGACGTTTTCAAGTTACAAAAATGGGTGTTCTATAGTTTAGTGATATCATTGCAATAACTATAAAAGGACACAATTGTATTTGAAAACGCAGATAATTTTTTTGGTGTAACTCAACACATTCAAACAATACATGCATATTCATTAAAAAAATACGTACATATTTACTAATGATGTCTTTCTCTGATATTTTTTCTTAGAAAATTCATATAAAAAATATAATATTAACATGATTGCACTACCATAATTATGCGGGTGCATATAGTCAATATGCCTATGCTTATAAGAGTTAACATTAGATAATTGAGTGAGTTCAAAAAAGAACATTAGATAATTGAGATAGTAAACTGTCAAAATTTAGGATCATTTAACACAAAACATTTTAGTTTCTAATATAAAAACCATCTAAGTAGACTCCTGTGGACTCCAAGCGGAGGGTTCCTAACAATTACCCCGTAACAAAATAAGCAGAGGCGTCATTGAATTCTTCAAAGATTTCTTCTCCTCCTCCCTTCCCCTCTTCTATATATAGCCCCTTGCATCGACGCCATTCTCCTGTCCTCCGTTCTCCTCTTCCTCTCTTTGTGGGTTGCCTCACACACATCTGGTGTGCAATTCAAGCCCTTCACTAAGGTATGCATCTCCTTCTTCTAGGATTCTTTAATTTCGGCCGTCTTGATTATTTCCTTTTGGTATGCAATATTTGTCCCATGTTCTTGGGAGTTCGTTCATGTTTTTCTTCTGCAAAATTTGGGCACAAAAAGTGTACAGACTGCAGTGCCCCCCTTCCTGCAAAACAAGAGATACATTATTTCTGTTTGTGGGGAGAATTTGGCTCAATTATTTGATGGTTCTCAGTAGGTCCGCAGATAATATGTGAAATGCCACAAGCCTACAAAAATGTGTCAAATCTGAAAATTGCGTTAAAATATCTCATGGCCAGAACTTGTTAATTAGAGGAGGAGGAGGGGGGGGGGAGAGGATGAGATCGATTTACTTGCGTCTTTGTCACCTACAGGTGGACCTGGTGCTCATCAGGCCCACCTCTAGAGACAAATGCAACGTATGATTCCCTTTGAGGACTCAAGCCACCCCCACAGTTCTTGGAACAACTTACCATCTGTTGATCTACAGCTACCCTGGTGGGAGAGATGCTGTTGTTTTGCTTCTGCGTGACTGCATTCAAAGGCACGCACCAGGTCATTCCTTCTCTTTTCATTTCGTTGAAAAGAAGGGGTCATTCACTCATTCTCTTTTCTTGACCTGTTCCTGCCTTTCCCCAAAGTCTAGTACTAGTATTCTTCTTGACCTCTTGACGATAAAATTCATTCTGCACATGCCGCACGGATGCATGCATTATGATTTGTCACCACGCGTATACAACGACTTGTGCCCATTTAACGAATAACGAGTGGTTGTTTTCATTCTTCTCTGCGTGTCTGTTCTCTCAAAAAAGTCAATGTCAACGTTCTCACCTAATATTTTGCAAGTAATTCATAAAATATTTTCTTTATCTAAAAGTTTCCATGACAATTTTTCTCAAATAATAAAGATCTGCAGCATGACGTTCCTGTATTGTTCGTCTAAATCGTTGTTTAGTCCGTTTACACACCGTTTAACCCGAATGAAGGCTAAATGGCAAATGACCAACTGTTTACGGTTTACTGTTTCGAATTACACTGTGTCCTTGTGCTTACATCACATTTTTGCTATAACATAGTACAGCTGACGTTCTCATATATTCTTAACTATAGCAAATACAATTGCTTTTTGCATGGTTGGTCGCACCTATTAAATTGCATTCTGAACATAGTGTTAGGTTTACCGACCATAACTCTAGGTCAGAACACTCATCAAGACATTAAGCTAGCTATGGCCCCAAGCACACATGGCCTTAGTGATTAGGCGAACATGTAATTATGCTACCTCCTTTCTTTATTGATTGTAAAATGTATGTATAGTCAACCTTTTGAAACTTCAACAAATGAATCTAACTTGTGAAATAAAACATTTTTCAATAGATTTTCCATCAACAGCACGTTTCCTATGACATCACGCTTTTAATGTCATATTTTCCAGAACACCCCCCTAAAACTGTGTCAAAAGTGTGTATTACACGTACGCTTCAGTCGTTTCCTTTTTCGGTTCGGGGTGGTTTACGGTTTCCTTTCTGGTTTGGCAACATATCAGGTGCGAACTAACCAACATGTACAAATTTAGAAACTACCAATCAGGATCACTAGATGCTGATCCAATAGGGGGGGCTTAAGCGCAAAAAAATTCCACCTCTCACCCCATCCATGGGATCAGCATATAGTGGTTCTGATTGATAGTTTTCAAGTCTGCATAGGTTGATTGGTTTGCACCTGATACGTTGCCTTCTTGTTTTGGGGTTTCTTTTGACCCTGGCTGAAGTGCCCTTGAGTTGAATCTGTTAATCCTCTTTTTTTTTTTGCTCTTTCTTCGTCTAATAAAAATCACGACAAATCTCTTGCCATCCTTTTAAAAAAACAAGTACCATGTTAAACTGTTAACGTCCAAAATAAAGAATAAAATAGGAGAGAGTGCATGTTACTAACTTATGCTAAGTAGCTAACTGCGCTGATGATAACAGGTTTTAATTTTGCAAGCGTTTTGCTCAGTTTCTCCTTAACTATGTGCAGTGAAACTTTCTGAATATCAAAGTGCCATAGAGCTGGACTTTTATGGCCGTCCCTATGAAGCACTCCGGATTCCTGATATAGATGTTTCCTTGTTCTGAACATGAGAAGGTTCAGAACATATCCTAAGCCACCTAAACTACTTTCTCATAGAGTTGATGCACTTTCTCTGACATTATCTTTTTCTTCCCTGATCATCAGTTCTCAGGTATTTTGCTGTTGATGAACTGCCTCCACACCTGCAACGACAAGAAAACGCTGAAGAAGTGGTTTTTCATCGACAAGACAGTAGGCTAAATTCAGTTCAGGGAACAAAAGAACACTCTACCACACAGCTCTTCTCTTCATTGATCCCAATGGATATGAGCAGCAGCTCACCTGTTATCACCGATCCGATATCGATAAGCCCACCGCTGTTGGGAGGCTTGACATCAAACCTGATGCCGTTTTCAGTCATGTCTGGAGGTTGCTCCAGTCCTAGTATGAACGCCAGTAGGCGTAAAATCGAGGAGGTCCTTGTTAGTGGCCTGCTAGATGCAATGAAATCCTCGTCGCCTCGCAGGAAGCAAAATATCGCCTTTGGACAAGATAATTCTCTCGACGAAGATCCTGCTTACAATGCATGGCTGGTAAGTTGCATTATGCACTTCACGGCGACGTACTTTCTCTGAACATGAATGTATGGTTTACTCATGGGGTCTGATGTTGCAGTCAAAATGCCCTTCTGCGTTGACCTCCTTCAAGCAGATAGTAGCCAATACACAAGGCAGGAGGATTGCTGTGTTCTTGGATTACGACGGTACCCTGTCGCCAATCGTTGACGATCCCGACAAAGCATTCATGTCCCCTGTGGTAAATCATAACAGCCTGTTCCAAGTACTTAGCATTACTTGATTAATGAACAACTGCTTATACTTTGTCTGAAAACCTTCTTAGATGAGAGCTGCTGTCAGAAATGTTGCAAAGTACTTCCCTACTGCAATTGTCAGTGGAAGGTCCCGTAAGAAGGTACTAATGATATCTTTGCATGTTCTTTTTGAGCAATTATAGGTTTGCATGTATTACTGTATGAACCTGAAGACACTAGTCATATGCAAGTTGTCTGATCTGACATCTATTATGTAACTTTCTCATTTTCGTGTAGGTATTTGAATTTGTAAAACTGAAGGAACTATACTACGCTGGGAGTCATGGGATGGACATAGTAACATCTGTAGCAGCACATGCTACTGAAAAGGTGAGTCCTTCTTGCTCATAGCACTGAATTCAACATTTTCCTTATTCACTGGCATACAGTTATGTGCACAATACTTACAGTCCCTTGAATTCCACTTGCAGTGCAAACAAGCCAATCTCTTCCAACCTGCTTGTGAATTTCTTCCTATGATTGATGAGGTGTGTTTATTTTATAACTACTGCACCAATAAACTGCATTCCTCAGTCCAGATGTCGCAGTATCTCTACTTGATCTATCTGGAATTCTCTTATTGTTCTTGATGGGTAATCTATCAAATCTTCGTACTAATGCTGAGCCACACTTCTTCAATAGGTTTCCAAGTCCCTCTTGGAGGTCACGAGTGTTATTGAAGGTGCAAGGGTTGAGAACAACAAGTTCTGTGTATCTGTACATTACCGCAACGTAGCAGAGAAGGTAAAATTGTGTGCCACTAACTTTCATCTTTCAGGGCTCCTGTCTCTTACCTTTTTTTTAGAGAAATGGATGATGGTTTCAGACGTCCTCTTACTAGGATGCATCAGACCACACCTATTACAGGGAAGTAGTAGCAAATTTATCTGAGAGTTTTATGCTATTGTTTTTCAGGACTGGAAAGTGGTTGCAGGACTGGTAAAACAAGTCTTGGAGGCCTTTCCTCGTCTCAAAGTAACCAATGGGCGAATGGTAGGAGCCTAGACCGTTCTCCTACGACTGTCATAAATCTTTGATAATTGCTCCAAGATTTAACGAAAAATCTTTTACAATGCTGCAGGTTTTAGACGTTCGTCCAGTGATCGACTGGGACAAGGGAAAGGCTGTCGAGTTTCTGCTTCAATCACTCGGCTTAAACGACTCTGAAGATGTGATTCCTATCTACATCGGAGATGATCGAACGGACGAAGACGCCTTCAAGGTTGCTACATCTTCTTAGGGAACTTGTGCGGTTGTACTTGCGCATCTCACTCGCATGTTTGAGGCGTTCTAAAACGACTCTTCTGTTGCCTATGTCCAGGTACTTCGAGAGCGAAAATGTGGATACGGAATCCTAGTTTCGCAGGTGCCCAAGGACACTGAAGCCTTCTACTCGCTGAGAGACCCATCTGAAGTAAATCTCTCGTGATCTTTCTTAGCACTTCTTTCTACCCTGTCGGTTTCGTTCGATGTAGCCTTTGTGACTCTAATCTGCGTTTGCTTGTCACACAGGTGATGGGGTTCCTCAATTCCTTGGTGAGATGGAAGAAGCACTCACTGTGACGAAACTGAAAACACGATGATTGGATCCAGAAGGCGTAAAGTAACTGTAGCTCGTGCGGCGGCAATTTTGTTGAGTTGGACGCACATGGTGGCTCATTCTTTCATGTGTTTTTTCATTTTTTTTATTGTACGTGTTCTTTGCCACTGAGAAATGATCACTGTGGCTGTCTCATCCTGTTGCAACCGTAATTTGTAAGCAAGACAAGAGGCCCCTCTTCCTCTTCAGTCTGTTGAATAAAACTGGGACGATTTTCGTTCCATGTTCGTTTCGCTAAAATTTGGCCTATGCTGATTTGTTGTGAGAGAAAAATAATGTTCGTTCGCTAAAAAGTACCGCTAAAGTAGTTCAAGCGTGTGTCAAAACTTAGAAGTAATGCATTTGACCGTGGGATTCTGTCATTCTGATGCTTGCTTGCTGCTAGCCTGCTAGATGCTTCTGTGCCAACTGCCAAGTTAAACTGAAACGACCTCGTTTCGCTGAAATTTAGCCAATGTTACTGCTTATGCTGATTTACTGTAAGAGGAAAATACGGTTTCTTCGCTGAAAAGTACTCCTGAAGTGTAGTGCTGAAAAACAAGGCGAAGGGTTCCATGGCAAGAAGGAACACAGGGACAGGGGTCTTGCGATGAAAGCCAACAACAATTGAAGTGGTTTTGCACTGCTACGAGTAAGAAGATTCAGAGTTCAGACGCGCTCGGAAGTCAGAACATTTGTTTCCCGAATTTGATCCAGGCGTACCCAGCCGCCGTTGGATCGGTCGCTGTTTGCTTCAAGGATCACGATCCAACGGCTGCGGCCTGCGAGCGGTCTCATCCTTTGCTTGCCGACCAGAAAAATGAATCCGGCTGGCCGCCCGTCGGGCCGTGTGCTCTCTCTACTCTCTGCTCCTCCTCTTTCTCCCCCGCGTGTTTATTCACGCCCAAACCCCAAATCGCACGCGTCATCCCAATCCCAAACCAATTACGACACGCTTGGCCAGCCGCCGCCGCCGCGCCGCCCGAAATCCGGAGGGGAAGCTCCTCGACGCCGTCGCGGCCAGCGGCAGCTCGAACGATGGCCTCCTCCAACTCCGCCGCCCCGGCTGCCGCCGACGGGGGCGACGACCTCGACCAGCTCCTCGACAGCGCGCTCGACGACTTCACCAGCCTCGATCTCTCCGCCTCCGCCGCCCCCAAAAGGTACTGCCTCTGTCCTATCGTCGCCGGAGCCAGAAGCTGCTCCCGCTAGGACTTTGAGCGAATCACTGGCTCTCGTGTCTCGCTCTACAGCGCCGGAGAGGCGTCGGGGTCAGGATCGGGAGGCAAGGGGACGGTGAAGGGGCTGGGGCTGGGGCTTCCGGACCCCAAGGCGCCGAAGCGCCGCGCGGGGAAGCAGCCGCCGCCGCCGAGGGGCGCGTGCGCGAAAGAGGCGCTCGAGGAGCTGACGCGTGAGACGCGGGAGGCTGTGCGCGGGCTCGAGACGGCCACTGGGGGTGTCCCGTCACTGGACGATGACGCCATGATGGAGGAGTTCGTCAAGCAGTTCGAGGAGTTCGCAGGGGCACAGGTACCGTTTCTCTTGCCTGTCTGTTCAAAGAAAATTACTGGCAGGAGTATCCTATTGCTTCTGTTCACTATAGTATCTACAGTTTTTCTTTTTCTTCGAAACAGTACTTATAGTTTATTACTTGAAGCTTGTGGGTACTCCCTCCTGCACCAAATTATATGTCAGACTTATCCTAATTTTAACTGAGTTTTTAGAAAGATACACCAACATTTACAAATTACAACATCAAATTAGTTTCATTAAATTTCCCATGAAATCTGTCTTGATAGTGCATTTATTTGAACTGTAGATGTTATGTTTCTTTCTCAAAACGTGGTCAAAGTTTGACTTAGGGAAAATGTAAACTGAACTAGAATTTGCAATTGGGAGTATGACTGAACTATTGGATATTTCATGTTTTGTGTTGAAAGGTTTTGTCAGACTGCTTTTGATGTCTGCGCGGTGGGGGTGGGCGGTGGGCATTAGTACTGGTGTGCATTGATGTATTAAGGTTTCTTTTAAGACTCTTTACTTGAGAAATGAAAATGAAGCTACCTGCGGAAGGAAAGAGGTCAGCTTGTGAGCAGCTGCAGTAGTGATCTAACTAATTTACTATTTATAAATTGGATGTGTTAGAGCGTCTCTTGGAGTTCAGTATAGTTTACTTATACTAAACGTTAACAGAAGAAATAGGAACCTTAAATTTTGTCCTTCTCCAACATTCTTCTATAATAGCTTCCTAAACAACTTTGCATTGCGAACCCCGAACTGTTTCTAACCAACTAAAACTTTTTTAATAGTTTCTTTGTCTCTTACTGCTTTCTCATCTGGACCCCTTTTATTTTCTTAATTTACTCATGCATCCAATTTACTCCGATCTACTGAGAAAAATGCTGGATGGGGAGCGGATACAGAGTTCCTCTTGACTGCAGAAACTTATGAGTTGGAGAGGATGACAATTTTTTATTTTTAAGGAGCTCTTTTACCAAACTGTTGGACGACACTTTTTTCCCTTTTTGCTAAAAAAATCAAAATAGGGAGTTGTTTTACAAAACTCCTGGAGATGCTCTTACAATCACTCAAACAGCCATTTGATAAATTGATAAGTCCAATGGGAAAAAGAATCTGTAGCTGCACATTGGCAATTTGGTCTTGGATAATTATATTGATGTATAAGCATGCTACAGTTTACCCTGACCCTGTATTCAACCATGCAATGAAATTGTTACAATTATCATTCATGAATGTCAGTACATTTAAGACAGCACAAATAAGATTATGTGGCTTCCTATATGCAATAGGGTTTCTGCTTATTGTGCTCCAGTTATGGGATATAAGCTATGCAGCACGGATACGGATACGCGGATACAGCAATTTCTCAGAAAACATGATACGCAGATACGTTTTACTATTTATTAAAAAATAAATAATAATGCAAATTAAAATTCTGAAAGTCTTAACTTGAGTAATCATTTATCATTAGTTCAGTACTCTACATGCAATCATACATGTACTCATGGGATGTCACCAGGAGCTTGCTTTGTTGTTGAATCGTCCTCTCCTCTGCATCTCTCCCCTGCATCATGGGAGCTGGCTGCAGCCATGGCGGACTGGTGGGTGCTCCCTGGTGCGGCAGTTTGGAGGAGGGGAGAAGTCGAATGATGGCACGGAGGGGGCGGAGCCTCGTCGCCGGTGGCCGGCGAGCGGTGGCGCATGCCCTGCGTAGGCCGCAGCAATGCGGCCATGGCTATGGCGGACTGGTGGGTGCTTACCAGCGCGGCAGTTTGGAGGAGGAGGAGGAGAAGTTGATTGATGGCACGGAAGGGGTGGAGGCTCATCGCCGGCGGCCGGCGAGCGGGGCGCAACCCCTGCGCAGGCGGCGGCGCGAGCTGCGACAGTGCGAGGCGTCGGGACGGGGAGATAAGGAGCGCTTGTTGGGTGGGCCGTATCCCACAGGTGGATACGTATCAGGTCACATACTCAATATTCCAAAAATTAAATAAAAATCGGATACTTGGAGGATACGTGTCGGAGCCGTATCAGTGGCGTATCCGTATCGGATATGTATCCGATACGCGATACGGCTCTTCATTGACGTATCCGTGCTACAGAGGATATAAGAAAGCCTTTGTGGTACAAAAAGTTCCTATCTTATTATGAAATTAGCATAAGAGCATCTCCAGGAGACACTCTAAATTTCACCCTCCATATCTCCATCTGGCTATCCATTTCAAAAGATTCCCTCTCCATATTATTCCTTACTCATGCAAACGCTCCAAATCTTACTCCGCATATCCTATTATCCTACACTTAAATGATACTCCCTCCGTCCAAAATTATAAGTTGTTCCAACTTTCTTGGAGAGTCAACGCATCTCAAGTTTGATCAAAATTATAGAGAAAATAACAAAGATTTATGATGCCAAATAAGTATACTATGAAAATAGAATTAATGAAAAATCTAATGATACTTATTTGATATCATAAATGTTATTATTTTATTATATAAATTTGGTCAAGTTAAGATACTTTGACTCTCCAAGAAAGTCGGAATGACTTATAATTTGAAAAAGAGGGAGTATTCAAATTAGTTGTAACAGCTAGATTGTACGGGTATAATTTATAGCATATATTAATTTTCGCAACGGCTCAAACTTCCATTATTTAAATTGCATTGGAATTAACACATTGAACAACATATATATTTGAAATCTTGCACTTGAATTAAACAATATCCTTGACACACAAGTATCGTGATTGCATCACTTAGCCACTGACAAGACCCAAAGCTGCAGGTTCCATCGTCAGTGCGAATAAATAGAAGCACAACCGTTGACTCATTCTTATCCTCTCTCTGTCATCCCCTTCTCGTCTTTTAGGTCTGTTCCTTGTTCTCAGCTACTTCTCTTCCCTCTCTCTCTCGGCATGCCATGGTTTTGATCTGGTGAAGGGAAGAAAGAAAATAGTTTGGCATCAATGGAGTATGAACAACCAATGGACAACCGTGTGCCCCATGGCTGAGTTGTGCCAGAGCCAGGGGCTGAGCGGCGCAATGGAACGTGGGGATAGAGGCCCAGCAACGCTAGGCAAACAGCAGCGCGTGAACGGGGAGGGTGTGTGGGATGTTGGGACAGTGAGGTGCTACTGGCCAGCCAAATGTGCCATGGCAAGCTCACTGAATGGCGTGTGAACAGCGAGGACAAGTTGTATGTCATGAGCCGTGACAGCTGGAGCATCAATTTTTTTTTGGGTTTGGGGCCAAAAATAGCAATGGCCAGTCTTTGGCATAGCTGATGGAGATGCTCTAAGTGAATCAGAAGTAACTCCAAGGCTGCTACTTATTGTACTATGGGAAGTGCATTCAATGTGACTGAACATTAGATATTTCTCACTTCCTTTTATATCTCATCTGAAGGAGTTATCATACTACTGTTTGATGTTAGAGCATAGTTAATTTACAAAGTAAATTTCACAGC